TGGCCGCTCGTACCTAGAGCCAGTTGTTGAAATGGGGAAGGACTTCCCGGAATGGGCTATGAATCATGTGATTTCTGTTACGTCACAGATATGCACAGACCAGTTTTCTCGAAGTAACGGCTTCCCTACTTGAGGAAAATGATCTCCATATCCTTGCATAAACTGGAAATTATGGAAACTTCCCTTATCTACGAAAAAAAGCTAGTGAGAGTGCTCCTCCTTCAAGTACAGCACTCCTCCGCCTTCCGGAGCTGAGGCGGAGAAGGCGGACCTAGCTTCACGTCAAGTTACACAAATTTACCACTAACCGGGCCCAGGTTGCCACAACGATGGCCATGTACTCCCGGAGGCGTTGTTCAATTCAGGCACCTGCATCCGCGTCTTTTTGCATTGTCTGGGTCAATCCTGATTACCGGTAAGAGCCAGCTGGGCGGGCCCCAGTGCTTCATTGGTGCGGGATATTCCTTGCTGAACACTCAGGGACGGTGAAAATCTGGTTCGGGAAAGACTAGGCCTATAACGCAAGCTAATTGGTAGGTAGCCCCGTTAGGCAGGGCCTTGAGATCTGACGTACTATGCAGGGGGTTATATTTCTCACGTCTATGTACCCCAGATTAAAAGAATTCCATTTCTGGTTCCCCGCTGGAGGGGTTAGAAACTCGGGTTCTTTTTGGGGAACCAGACCAGTTAGCTGAGTACACCGAAATGAAAACCAATTTCGATAGTCACGAAATGGAAACCAATTTTGATAGTCAGGAGGATGGGGTTCTCGATCGAATTGGACCCTCCCAATGGGATGTGCAGGGCACGGGTGTGCCCCTGTTGTTTGTACTCGGCCTTGGAGAAAAGCCCTAGTCCGAGTTATGGTTTATTCATGTATTCGAGTTATGTAATAGCTGTGGTTAGGGCCACAGATGATTAGCACGAATAAATCGAATCACCTACCCCACATCCAACCCTAAGGGACCTGCAGCTGCAGGTTTAGGTTTTCATGTAGGATCGACTCGAAATATTTCGACTAATTCTGCCCACGCTGCGCGGTACTAGCTGTTCATTGATGTAAGATGATAAGTTCATTAGATTAATGGTTTGTTGCTTCCATGTCACACAAGACGACATACCTTGGATAACAAGAATCATTCACATGATACTACCGCATTCGGTATACGTGACAAGAATTGCGAACCTGTGCAATTGGCGTTGACCACGACATCGGAATTCCCGCATATTAAAAGAAATCAACGACATCACTATTACGAGAAAAAAATTCGAAAAGGTTTTTACTTGAATACGTAGTCTGCGACGTTGGATGCGATGCAAGACCGGGTGATTCTGCATCATTTCTGAGCCAATGAGAAGAGATCTAGATTTTTGATGTAGCGGGTTACTTACCCTGACCTTGGTACACTAAGACGAAGTGGTTATAACCGTTTCGCAGGGCATCAATGAATTCATACAACTTCGTTTGGCCGCTACCTATACATGTTAGCATTAGCAAAAAAAAAAAACAATGTAGAGTCTGACAAAAACAAGGAAGGTGCTGACTCAATCCGGCCCAAAAGGTGAAGTGAGGGAAACAGAAAAAGAGTCTCTAAGGTTACACTAACCTGCAGTGCATATCTCGGCAATTAATTTCAAGCTCTTTGTCCACTTGATCACTAATAACGGGCGTGAAGTATATTTCTCTTTCGATACAATCATCAGAGCTACGATATAAAATCCACTCAGGATAGTTCGTAATGACGAAGCCCTACGTCAGTTCACGATTCCAACGGTGCACCAGTTGCCTCCTCTTGGTCCATTCATCCGCGTTGCAGCATAAATTCAAAGTGGCCATATACGTGAAAAGATTTGCCAGGTTCTGATTAGCTAAAAATTCTCATGTCATCAAATAAGTCATTTATGTACACGGTTACAGTGTAATTGTTTGTCCTCTTTTCCTGATGTGATGATGAGCATCCGCGCTCGAGCTATTTTGCACAAGTACTATACCCCATGGCGCGCAAGTGTAGTGCGGACCTGTACGATGGGGCTCTGTTTATATTGAGCCAATTGCTCTTTCATGATTAGATCGTTATAACTTTTTGTTATCTCCTTCTGTTTCAGCACCTTCGTATGGTGTATTAAAACCTTCACTACTTTTGGACGAGAGCAGAGGTGCATCGGGCTCTTTGGCAGCAAGGGCTGAAACGTTCTCAACCATCAAAAGATATTGATAATTGTACTCATAATCAGATCATGTTGGAAGTTTCCGACTTGTTGCATTATAGCAAGACTATCAACGCGGCAGTTATAGATGGTTATTCACAGTGATACCGTGCATAATGCAATATTATTGATCCCTGGTAGCTTCTCCAAACTGTCCAACTATCCTCCGGTTTTCCCATCAAACCCCGCCAGCTGAACCTTTCAGCTTCATCCGCACGCAGAAGGATATGGCATTAAGATCTGTTTCATTTAGGGATTTCTGATTGGGCGCGGTGGCAACAATTCTGTATGGAATCTTACCTAAGATGTCAGGTCGATTAGCCTATATAATCAATGATTGCCCATCTAACGTCTTCATTCCTGTCGTGTAACTATTTGAGCCCTTTTAATATGTCGTATGATTGCAAAATTTTCATTCCTTAAAATGCGAAATAAAACTCAACCGGGGTCAGCTGGAGACCGGAGAATGGCGGCATAGCTTGGTTTCCCACATACGTTGATGGTTAAAGGTACATTCTGTCAAGACAGCTTTCTGTATATACTTCCAAGCTTGGAAAGATTTTGTGAACCGGAGTCGGGTAGGATATCAACTGACGTATATGATATATCAACTCCATCACTATGGGGGTCATGTAGATATTTCACCCCAAAATATACGATATGATATATTAAGGCATATTTAGGCCTGACCCAATACCTGCGTATTAGAAAGTAAGATAGCAGACGTGTATAAGAAAGGTCAAAGTAAAAAACAATGAAGATCTTTCTAGCGTAGATGAGAACATACAAGAGATGAAAGTTACGGTTTAACGATATTGTCTTTATAGAGGGAGATGCGGCCACAAGAAAGGAATACACATACCTGGCCCCATTCAACTTATCAAGACTAGTCATCAAAGCTAGTTGAAGTTCTGCTAAAAGCTGCTTGAGGACACTCTCTTTATGGGGTACCAGTTAGAAAAGCTGTTGTGTGCTAGGTACCCAGCAAGCCGGAAAAGGCAAAGGAGAGAAGCAAAAAAAGCAAACAGCAAATACCTAAAGCAAAAGATCGCTGCAAGGTCTGAGCTGTACCTTGTACAGTAGCCAGGGATCATTCAACGCATCAGGTGAAGAACTGGCCTCCAGAACTTTTGTCCCTGTGCTGCATCCCTACGGTGTAGTGTAGTCTGTAGATCAAATAGATGGTCACAATCTTAGCCACCAGGTAGATGTCGGTAAAATTCTTCCTCTAAATTTGGGTCCTGAATTCTCCATTTTTGTCAAGCGTACTTGTCAATTGGTTTCCCTGATAATGTTAAGCCAGCATAAGTCCCGGTTACAATTCCATAATTGTGGGTCCATTGTAGGCCTTTCATAAGATCACCTTTAGGTCTGCGATGTTCAATGTTGGATAAAGCCCATAGGGTGCATGTACATGAGCGGACCTATACGGTGGGGTTCTCTCTAAACCGATTACGTGGCCTTTTCCAGATTAGATCTTGAGATCCTCGCTCATATGCATTAAGGGAATCTGTTTCACACTATCGTGGGGTATATCTCCCTTGGGACGAGAGTAGAGGTGCATTAACTGTACCGGGTTCTTTGGCAGCAAGGGCTGAAACGTTCTCTTACACCGAAGGGTGTTGATCACTGTCCTCATAATCGAGATTCGGTTGGAAGGGCTTGTTGCATCATAGCAATGATTATCGAGACGGAGACATTGACTAGTACGAATTATCAGACAGAACTCAGCCCTAGTCCCGCCGGTTCACTCCCAAATAAGAACGGCAGTTCTCCATAAAAAAAAATTGGGCTGCATTAACCGAAATTCGGTTTCTATGTCTTTTGGATCTGCTTTTTCCTCCCCACGCAAGACCAATGCTTCCCACATCCAACACAACAATCAGGGCGGGCTTTTTCCGCAGTAGTCGCCAACAGAGCATTTCGTTGATATTCGAGGCACAGTAAGGGACATCTTATATCCTTTAAGAGGATCACGTTTGTATAGCTCAAGTTATCCCAGAGTGAACGATTGGTATCCTCAATCATATTAGCATGAATGATTGGTCTATCCTCCACTGCCATTGAAAACATGGGCGGATACTGATCTAAGGGCATCTGTAGCCGGATATAAAGGAGAGATGTAAAGAAGGATATCTTTAGGAATGTCATATGCGTAAGGCAGAGATACCTCAAGTGGCGTGGATAATAAGTTATCCATTTCGTGATTCACAAGTGGATGAGTGTATGGCGCGGTAGTCGATTGCAGAGATCACGGTGCGTCCCTAGAGAGCGTGCATCAGATCCACGTCGAAATGTCTTGTGAGGAGAATAATCAGACCATTCATCGCGGTTGATTTATACATGTGGTTTTCTAAGCTGCGAGATAAGGTAATATTAATATATAAATAATCAATAAAACCTACATGATGGTTTCGTCACCGCTCGCATACCACACCCCAGATAAGTTGTAAGGATGATTTAAAGGCCTTTTTTTGGTAGGCTGTAGAAAATAACATCCACGGACTTTGTTCTTGTAGATGAGTTCAATCTTCGTAGTCAAGTTCATATTCTTTTCTTGTTGGCTTCGAGAAACCTTTCCACAATCCACCAGGGTCGCCTTTGAAAGCGTCGGGAGCGTGTCCATTATCTGGATATGGAGAGACATTCTGAGTAAGGAACGCTGCAGGACTTGGGCACAATCGTTGAAAGTTGTAATAACGCTCAGCAGCATGATCAATAAACGTCGATTACTTTTTCACCCCAAGGCTTGGGGCCTATGTTAATTAGAATAATAATGACTACGTATCTAAGGGTAAGTGGTCTAGGGGTATGATTTCTCATTCGCACGTTGTCATGAACAGAGTAAACCTTGAGAAGGTCCTGGGTTCAATTCCCAGCTTATCCATTCTTTTTCTCTTTTTTGTGAATCAGGTGAAAAATTGTCTTCGTCTGATTCGGGTGGGAGCAGCGACGCCATCCGCGGGAGATGTGTGCATGCAGTAAATTTTTCCGACGATTCCCGTAGTGGCGGAGGCTAGACTATTTTCCGAGTGTTGTTTTAAGCGAGCTGCTGTGGGTTCTGTCACCCTTTCCTACGTTTTATTAATTTATATATATATAAATTAATAAAACTAGACAGACCTAATCTATTCCTATGTCCGTGTGATGTGATGAAGGTTGATCCTCTCTCTCAACTACCTACCGGTCGATCTATTCTAACACTAGTTCATATGACCTTACAGTCCGCATTCCAGTTCCACATTGCCCGTAGGATTACATGGGTTAGGATCATGCGTTCTAGATACATAAATGTCGACTAGTCTGGTTGCATGACCCCTCCGTAGATCTCGACGGGTGGAGCCTTATCTTATAGAGTGCTTTAATATAACCGCGTAGATCATTATACAGGTTAGTTAATGACTCAGGGTAACCCTAGACTTCAGCACGTGCCTTAATATGAAGAACCAAGATTGGTCTGACGGATGACGCGACAGTGCCTGGCACTATTGAAGTGTTTGAATGTAGGGATATCTCCAAACAAGTTTGATGGAGTCACATGACTACTATGGATCATGGTGCTACAAGTTATGCAGATATCAAACAAGAGATGGGATAACCTAACCTAGCATGGTGGGTGGTCGTAGATTTTTCTTAGTTGATTGCCTGGTGTATCGTGTGGTAGACTTCTAGCCATAGACGGGAATAATAGATAGATATCCATTGCATTAGATTAGACTCGTGCCATATTCTATAGGATGCCACCAACGTTATTAGACCAGTGTCTGCTATACTGGGGCTGAAATACCAAGAATACGGTATTCGAAACCGTGTGCCCGTGTCACGCATAAATTCCCTTTCTTTTTTTTTTAAGGAAAAAAGTCTATACGTCTATGGAGCCTTAGGCTATGAGACGGCCCCGTTCCCTCATCTTAAAAGGCTCGGTACACCCGCGGAACAACGGGCAAAACATCAACTATTCTAATACAACTGTAAAAGACCCGAGAATACTGTATGAACTTCATGAGAATACGAAATGCCAACCGGGGTAAAAGAAACATGATAAAAGTCGTCACTGCGAAGTCCATTACCCGTCAATACACAAATCCACTCTATTCCTTCCTCTGTCCAACTCGTAAGCCTCAATTGGGAGCCAGCGTCCCCTCATCTTCACGAGACTCCCAATAGCTAACTTCTTGTCAAAATACACTACTACGGAGCGGGTGACTTTACCAAGTCTCCGGTTACCTTACAAGGGCTAAAATCCCTCTCACTCCAACATCCTGTATAATCTGCCACATAAACTGCCCTAACTCGGTGTGTGACCGCCTCAGTTCCTAGACAAGAGATCTATATTAACTTCTCAAACATTCCATTACACATACCGGTACAAGCCTAAGTACAGAAAACACTGCAAACACAGCTACCTACGAGAAATCCCTAACCACCTACATCCCATTTACACATAGAGGGCTTCCTCGTATTCGAAAACATCGAACTCCTACTCCCTCCCCAGTGAATATGATATTAATTCAATTCTACTACGTCTTCCTGAGTCCCTACGGCTGCGCTATGATAGTTATGTGTTGGACTTGTGGTTTCAAGCGCTCCAATGAGGCAGCAGCGATAGTGAGGTGTGACAAGGAGAGGCTAGTGGGGGAGTACGTATGGGAGAGTGAAGGGGGGTGGAAGGAGTGATGTAGAACATATTATGAAGAAAAGAGGGGGAAATAGAAAAGCAGAAGTTCAGGGTAACTTTGGCTGTGCATCATCGGCATACGACTGTCGTGTTTTCAAAAGGAATGGATGGATGTAATTGGTACCAATGGGCAATAGAACATCTATATGATGAAGATGAGGCTGTCACGAAGAATATATTTTTTCGTGGTACTCAATATCTCTCGCGTTATAGGCATACGCACCTATGGACTACTTCTAATTTCACCCTTTGTTCTTCTGTGAGAATTGCGAATATAGCCTAGCATTTTGTAACCTTAGGGCTAAAAGGAGAATTGTGATCTTATCTGATGGACAGTAGGTTACACTTGTTGGTATATAATTGTGGTGGAAAAAAGCTAGCGATGTAATGGTTTGCACATATAGTGAGTTGTGGTATATAATGTTAAGACGCAAGGCCTAGGCGTCACCTTCTCGCGCGAGTATTGCGACTTCAGTAGGCGAATCTCCCTGGTGAGTGGGGTATATGAGTGTAGTCTTCTAAAGGACTGATACATGACAGAATGTTACCTAGGTGTATAGAACCAAAGGATTACTTGTTTACCATCTCGAGCTATGCAAAATGGAAAAATAAATCTATACTACGATGTAATCCCTTCCCTCCCTCGTCGTTCCCAATTTTGCATCTTTGGGGCCACAAACATGGTTAAGAACATGCTCGAGTCGAGGGAATCGAATGCATCTCTATGAGAGCTGATTGTTCGCGGCTGCAGACTTTTCTAATTTAGTGACGGGGTGCCCACTGTCAACAGTCCCACATAAAGCTTGCATTGCCGCGCTGACATTACTTGACCCGGGCACTTACCTCGCCCATCATCTGCAGCTACAGTCGAGTACCCTTTAGCTTAGGCATCAAAGTTTTATATAGTAATGAAATAAAGACTATATTTGGGGCTATCTAGCACTTTGGGTAAAATATCCATACTTTCCCATGTGTAAACACTAAAACCCTAAGATGGCACGTTCATCATGTAATATAGGGTGATATGGAACCTCCTTCTCCAGCGGAAACGATAAAAGGCAAACGCCACCACTACTATTGAACTTTCCCAATATGTCGATGCTAGCATGCGCACTCCCGCACTTGGGGAGCAGGAACCAATTATAATTCGAATATAAAAATGAGCGCACGAGCAGGGTGCACCTGGTACTGGCTGGTATACGCTGAGGATTTTCTGCAGTAAGACGTGATGGCTACTCTCCAATAGATAAAATGAAGGTAGTGTTTGGTGAAACTTGAGATGTATGTTCAGTGGGACACTAGGACAGGGTCATTGTATTGGTGGGTAGCTGCCGGAGATAAACTAAGCCGCTCCACCCTGTAAAATGAAAAATTCCCTGATGAGAGACTTTGTGAGTAACTGCGGTAGCAGCAAAGGATCATCTATACCTCTGACCTCGCCTTAGTGTCTGGGTCATGATCGTCGCCCATCCGTGTCATAGAGTGGTACTTGAACTCTGGCCTAAATATTGGAAGCCTCGATTGGTGAGGTATAGCATAACAGCATATTGCTGGAGGAGCTACATAGTTGTAAGAGAGAATCCCTTCTGGAAAGTATCAACCAGACTACAAAGTATCCCCGGACAATGATTCCCAGAGGAACTTAGCCTAGGTGTAAAATCCTTGATGGCGGGGCATTCAGCGGAGGGGGCGCACTCCACTGGAATATATCTGTTCCCACAAAATACTTCTCATGGTATCTCTTTACCAAAAACACAACAGATTGCCTCTATTGGTGATCTGACCAGCAAGATTACCGGGACAAAGCTCCGGGGCAGCGGGGCAAAACAATTTTGTGGGTGAAAATCAAAGCCAACAAGTGGTGCGCCTAGGCGCCCTGTGAACAATGGCTGCTATTCTGATGCAACAGGGGGATCGTAATGGTTTCGTTGCATTGTGTGGGTAGTGGTGCTTGGGAGTATGATTGATGGGTCTATTGGGGATTATTCGCGATATGGCACACATGGAGAACATATATGCAGGGGTTGTCTGTGGAGGTTATGATTGTGGCGCATCAGAGCTCTGATCAACATTGATAGAGACTACAACAAACAAAAACATCGGATTTTACACATAAAAAGTAAACATGTAAACACCCCCCCCCCCCCGCAATTCGGGTATGAAGCATCTGAGAGTTTGATCACTCAGGAAAGTTACCTCACCGTTGGAAATTTCAGCAGTGTTGGCACTGAACACAGATGCATCAATGACACCGATCTAATTATATAGCAGACTAGATGAATTGAAATAAGTATACTATACTTTCCTCGAGATTTGTAAAATTCCAGCGAGTGATAACTGCTTCGTTGAAGTGACCAGATTATCAAGAACCATGGTACGTTATCGAACCTCCTGGTCAGTTGAAGATGTGCCCCAGAGCCCCTGGCATCACATGCTAAGTAAGAACCAAATGGCAATCTCGAATGACATTTTAGCCGCTCAAGGGCCTAGTACTTAAGGCCTAGTATGCGAGCCCCCTATATGATCGGGAAGATGCCTAAATAAGTAGTTTCGTATCGTTCTGGGATGTTGTGTCTGGGATTAGTGTTCTCTCTGTCATAGCTAAATTGCTTGGCCGATGAGCTTCTCGCAAAGAATGCTTCGACTAGAGTGAAACTGCCTGTAGATCTACCTTACATCATATAGTCAGTGCGAAGAAGAAGCCCAACAAACGACTTCCTGGCCAATCGATATCATATTTCTTCCACTATGTCTGTTCCTACCGACAGAAAGTTCCCGCATATCTTCCTGCCGCCTGGGTCAAGGAGAAAATATAGGCTGCACCCGGGAGGTAGAAGTCTGTTATGCAAACCGACCCTGCATTTCAGCAGATGCACCGTGATTGAACTTGCGGCTGGTGGATGGGGAGTGTACCTAGTAGGTAGATCGTCTGGTCTTGATTGTTTAGCCGGGCAGAGGATTTTACGGTTTCATATGTGGGTCGGGGAGCTGGAGCCATGTTGCCATGCAATTTTGCCTCTGGTGGACGTAAAGGTACAGTCACAACTTGCTAAACCGGAACGCCTTTAACCGGAAAACTTGCTATTACGGACGGGCTTTGGCGATTTTGGAACTACAGCGCAAAATTTTATTTGCTATACCGGACAAATAGTAAACCGTACCGGACGAGGAATCTCAAGAATAAAAAAAATATATACATAGAAAATTAA